GATATGTGCAGCTCCTATCGGGATTTGTCGGCACAGTCGGGTGGTCTTGCTGGTCTTGTTTTACCATTGCCGAAATGTCTTGCGAACCGGGATTCCGAGACTGAACGGGTCTTCCCGGGAGAAGGTTTATCCTTCGTTGACCGTGAGAGCTTATGATGGGCTAAGTTGGGACACCCCTGCAGGGTATTTTATCTTTTGAAAGCCGTGCCCGCGGTTATGAGGCAGATGGGAATTTGTTAATGTCCGATTGTAGATAACTTGACACTTGACTTCATTAAAATGCATGAACCGTGTGTGTAGCCATGATGGTCTCTTCTCGGCGGAGTCCGGGAAGTGAACACGGTTTGAGTTATGCTTGACGTAAGTAGTTTCAGGATCGCTTCTTGATCACTACTAGCTTCTCGACCGATGTGTTGCTTTTCTTCTCGCTCTCACTTGCGTATGTTAGCCACCATATATGCTTAGTGCTTGCCGCAGCTCCACCATATTACCCCTTTTCCTACCTATGAGCTTAAATAGTCTTGATCTCGCGGGTGTGAGATTGCTGAGTCCTCGTGGCTCACAGATTCTACCAAAACAGATGCAGGTGCCGAGGATACCAGCGCAGATGGCGCAACTGAGCTGAAGTGGGAGTTTGATGAGGCCCTTGGTCGTTACTATGTTTCATTTCCAGATGATCAGTATAGGTGCCCAGTCGGGACTATCGGGGATCTGTGTAGCTTTTGGGGTAGTCTTCTTTTATTTTGGTTCCGTAGTCGGACCTTGAGTGTAACCTGGATGAGGGATGTTTATTTTTGTATTGTGTGAAGTGGCGACTGTAAGCCAACTATGTATCTTTTTCCCTTATGTATTACATGGGTTGTGTGAAGATTACCTCACTTGCGACATTGCTTTCAATGCGGTTATGCCTCTAAGTCGTACTTCGACACGTGGGAGATATAGCCGCATCGAGGGCGTGACACGTCCGACAGTAGATCCTCGCCTCCTCTTTCGGTACTCGTCTTCATGCTCCTTCACGGCAAGCGCCATGACCAATGTTTGCTGCCGAAAGGTCGCAAGCATGGTCTCCACATCCGAGTCGTCCGAATCGGACGAATCGGATAGCAAGAACTTCTCGCACGGGGTCAACTCCATCTACACACACGCACGCCGGCGCGTCAATCTACTACACAGCTCGCGAAAAACACAAAAAAGAGACTAACCGGTGGCGAGTGATCCGGGGGCGGCGACGAGGGTGGTGCGCTCGGCGGTGGTCGATCCCAGCGGCGGTGGCGACTGGGGGGGGCGGCTCTTCTCATCGGATCTGGAGGGGCGGTGCAGCGGCTCGGCGCGGGAGGGTGTGGGGCGGCCCAGCGGAGCGATTCCGCCCGCAGATATGGCCGGAATCGCCGGCGGATGGCGGGCGGAAGCAAGGGCGGGCGGCGGCGGAAGGAAGGGGGAAAAGAGTGCGGGCTGAAATGTCCCTCCCGCCAACTGCTTCTCTGTGATGCAGGGCACCGCAGCCGCGAGGGGGAACCCCACGTTTTCCCGGGTTGGGGCCGGAAATTTGCCGCGCCCCCTAAATATTTTTGCGGGCCGGGGCGGGATGCGGGGTCTGGTCGGGCAGACTTTCCGGCCCGTACCCGCATTTTGGCGGTTATTTTGCTGGTCGGGGGCGAATGCGGGGTCTGCTAGAGTTGCTCTAAGCACCCAAAGAAGCCAACAATACTGTCATTTTTCTTCACTCGAGAGTGGAAACGAGTTCCATGTAGCTTCCCAAAAGACCCATAGGTACGTAAGTTGGCCACAAGCATAAGTGACTTTATGATGCTCGGAAATTGACCATATGGACCAAAAGTCCCTGAAAGTTCAATCACAAACTCCGAGGGTTCTACTAGAATCTGCAAAATCAGTGGTAATATCTAGCTTCAAATGTTTATTGGGAAATTTTTTGGCTAATGGAAAACTGCTCACATATGTAAATACTTAGAATAGCTCAGTTAATATTTGGAATTTGGGTACTCAGTTTATTTTTTATATGTTTGGCAGTTCAATCTGTTTAAATTATCCGTTCCTGTTTTGTATATAAAAAACCACTTCCCATTCTTAATTATATGAACCATACATCTAATATTTGTATTTCTGAATTTTTAAATTTATCTACAATAACTTTTTTGATGTTCAATCCACTATGTTACTAACACTCTATTAATTTTATTATTGAAATTTTTGTATAAAAATGATATTCCTGTGTCGCACCTTTTGGAGAGTACATTTAATCTAGTTTGTCTTAATAAGGTCTTGCACAGTGCATGAGAAGTTCATTACTCACCGTGTGGATGGTCCCACCAACACCACCCCCAAGAGGTGTCTCATGCAGATTCTCAATTATGTCCAGGTAAGAAAATGCAAACGCATTTATAACATCACCACAGCAAATTCTCACACTTCTTAGATAACGTGGTGCCACTTTTATGTCGCGTTTTCTCCATGTATTTCCTCCCCAAGGTCCAATCTTCTCAAGAATGATCTGCATTCAAGAGAAGGGGCAATAATAATAATAATAATATAAACCTTTCACATATAACAAGTGACATGGTATTGATCAGTCACAAGCTTAGGATACAAATAAATAGTCCATATGTAAACTAATATAAGATCTTGTATTAATTTACAGAGGGAGTAGTTCAATATTTTTTTATCAAGTATACTACATCGGGGAAAAATATTAACATAAATAATAAGCTTTGATTTCTTAACTTAATGTGTCCTTTGACATCTTATGTTTCTTATTACTTTTCGTAGTCAGGACTATTTCATTTACAATCACAACAACTATATCACTTGCTCATGGAGTGTGCCAATAAAATTGGCACTATCAAAGTTCAAAAAATGTGATAGGGTAGATGTGCGAAGGGTGAATTAAGGGGAGATTTGACCATATCCTTCAAACTTGAGGGGCCTTGCTCTTCTACTCCAAGTTGGTATGACTGCTTATTTTTCTCAAACTAGGAGAGTACTATGAAGTATGAACTCTATATCCATTGATATAGTATTACACCTGATCTCTCGATAACTACTATTAAGTATTGTTATTATGAAACAACTATGGTTGGGTGGCGACTACCGAGATATTATTTTTTTGGCGAGAAGACTACCGAGATATTGACATATGGCTCATGCAAGCAGACATTTGGCTCAACAAGCAATCCAAATTGCAAGACAAGTTAGCTTCTCGTTGAAGCATATGCTTGAAGGCTAAGCAAGCTTGCCATGTAGAAGCAAGTCAGCTTGCCATGAATGCTTCCTCTCAGCCTAGAGGTCAAGTAATCTTGTCAAGATAAGGCAGGCTTGACAAGAAGTAAAGTAAGCTCGTTAACAAGTCAAGTAATCTTGTGAAGCAAGATTGCTTGTGAGCTAATTAAGATAAACAATCTTCTTCAGGGAGAGATTTATAAAGAAGTACACGCAGAGAGAACCAGGAGTTGAGTAGCTCATTTGTTTGTTTTTATACAAGGCAACACCATAACGAAGAAAAAGCTCCCGAACTTGTCAACGTAAACATAGTGTTTTTATTGATCATGTTCTTCAGTTATCGCGCAACGCGCTCATCTTGTCTTAAATCGTGTGATTGTCAAGTATGGTCGAATGACATGTGATCATCAAGGGTGATCTAACAACCTCAGTTTCACAATAATCATCTTGTTTATGATAAAAAAACATTGAGTTTATCTACCCACAAGAAAAGTTATAAGAATGTTATATTCCTTAAGTCAGCAACTGTTCTATTAGCAGATTGTTACTCAAAAAAAGTTTGTGTGTTTACGTGCATGTGCGTGTCTGTGTTTGTGTTTTCTCGAAGTTGGATAAACTCTATAAATAAACTTATTGTGAATGGCTTGTGTCCAGATAGTCTCTATGAACTGTATTGTAATGAGCAGGCTGCTAGCCTGAGCAATGTATAAATCTTTTCACCCTAAAAAAGAACAAATTATAATAGGGGTAATAATAATAGCTGATTGAAAATCGATCAGACGCAACAATGTATTGATGGATATAGAGTTCACATGTGAAAAATCACATTACATGTGCCAATTTGCTAGGTAGTCACCAAAAGGTGATGAAAAGGGAACATTTTAGGAATAAGTAACAAAATGGAACACTAACTTGGATCATGTACTTTTTATTTTAGTGCGACTAAAGAAGACAATAATTAATACCTCTTGTTCTTTGAATGCTTCCTCATCGAGTTGAGATTTCTCCTCATCCTCTATCATTTCATCTTCATAATATCTAATCACGTCAACCCTCGGATGTTTGGGATTCACATAGGATGTCTTCCTCATAGCAGCATCAGCTTCCTCCACCTCAACGAGCCTGGAACCAGAACAATGCATTCGAATTGTGACCAGCTTAATAGAATGGAGGTTCTCCAAGCCGACCTCAAAATTATTGTATTCATCCTTCGCCTCGCGAACCTGAAATGTAACCTCGAGGGTTTGGAGCCTTCGCATGGCTCCTTCTACAAACATGATCCCCAATGAATCATTGTGCATGTGAAACTCAGATAGGCACTTAAAGTTTGCATGATCAGTACCGATAATCAACCTTTCTTTTGCCTTTTTGATTTTGTGCATAGTAACACAGAGATAATGCAGAAATGGGATGTTGCCGAGAGTGCCAAGGTCTTCCTGATGGATTTTGTCTAGTGTGATGATTAAAGTGGACAGTTCTGAGAGTGAGGAGTTCATCCATTCCGGTAATCTAGGTATGTTGCCGAAAAAATATCGAAGGTTGTGAGGGGTCCATCCTAAATCCATAATGAATTTTGTGGGAACTCCAGAAGATTGAATGATTATTTCCTTGATTTTTTTCAACTTGCACAAAGAACATAACAAATGTTTCTCATAATTCTTGTCCCATGTTCCAGATAGCGAAATTTTAAGAACCCTCGTATCCGTAAGATAACCTAGTTCCTTTGAGAAGTTTGGCGAGTTACTCACACCGACCGTAGACAGAACCTATAGAGATTTCATGGCTCCAATCTCATCTGGTAGCTTTACCGATGTTTCAATGTATAGGCACACAAGTTTCCTTAACTGAACAATGGTTGATGGCAGATCAGTTATGCCACTTTGACTCAAATCCAATGTTTGCAAAGAATACAGATTCCCTACTCCTTTCAGGATTTTGGTAATATTTGTATCCCTTAGTCCTAGATACCTCAAATGAAATAAATTCCAAACACCATGAATATGATGATTCTCCAAGTCACGGCAACCTTCTAGATCCAACACTCGCAGAACTTGAAATCTTGAAAGAGGCGGCATCAATTTTGTAGCACTAGGAAAGATGATAAATGATCTCACGTGGGATAAGCTCACCATAGAAAGTGACATGGTGTGATGTTCTTGATTGTTTTGGATGGATAATCGATGTATCTTCTTTGAAAGATCACTAGGTTGATGGCTATCTAATGTAGTGACAAAATTTTCTTCAACTGACAAGGATGTGATCAAATCAAGGACCATACCATGTACACGACAAGCCCCTACATTGCCACGAGAATCTACATGTTGTGGTTGAATTAGGCTTCGGTTAATAAGATCACTGAAGTAACCAAACCAAACTTTATATAAGGTATCCACATCACTTCCATGGACAAAGCCTTCGGATATCCATCTTCGTACCAAGTGATCACTCAATATTGTATAATCCTCCGGATAAACACTTAGGTATAGAAAGCAGGGTTTTAGATGGGACGGCAAATCATAATAAGTAATAGACAATATCTGACGCATGTCCTCCATATTGGGGAATTTCTCAAGTCCAGAACAGATTGATTTGTTGACAGTGTCCCATTCATGTATGTTCATTGATTTGTGAGACAATAGGCTGGCAATAGTGATGAGAGCTAATGGTACACCATCACACTTTCTTATGATTTTCTCAGATATTTCTCTCAGTTCCACATGAGAACCATCTTTACTCCCAAATATTCTTTCATAGAACAACTTCTTCGAATCATCATGACCAAGAGGATTTAGTTTATAAATGTTACCGTCGATGGAAGAACTGCATGATGCAGCAACACCAGCAGTACGTGTTGTTGTGATTACTCTGCTACTGCAGTTGTTCTCAACTAGTACAGTCTTTATATAATTCCAAGCTGATTCGTCCCATATATGATCAACAATAATTAAGTACCTGTGAATTTGTAGCACCATATTAGAAAGTAAAACAAGGCAAAAATTGAGTACAAACTAGCAAGTAAAGGGTAATTGGAACATATATATACGATCTACTAATTTTTCTATCACACGAGCATCCATTGAAGAAGAGAAGTGTTGCCCAACACTTGTTTAATTGACCCCCCCCCCCCTCTCTTTCTCTCGCCGTTTCTTCTTCCTTGTTCTCACCTCACGCGTCTAGTAAGGATTTTTATATAAATAATTATTAACCTTGTACTTTAGTTCTCAACATTCAAATTCTAAAATAAATCAAAACTAGAAAAAAATTAGATGAACTAAAGCTAGTTTTTTTCTCTTTTCTGAAAAGAGTCAAAGATCGGACCCTCGGCTTCTGCATCAAGTGATGCACACACTCATATAAACGAAATCTAACGCTTGTTGATATAGAGTGGATGATTTTTGTCGTTACCTCTTATCTCGAAGAACTTGTCTGATTTTGTCAATGATTTCCACAACATCCCATGCTTCAACCTCGCTGTAACTCTGCTTACTAACCTGACGGAGCAAGCTGCCCAAAACCCTCCTCAGATCGGGCTTGAGGGACACCATGACAAAGGCGTCGCAATCAAACTGCCCTCTGATCTGCTGGTACACGACGTTGGCCAGAGTCGTCTTGCCCAGGCCACCCACCCCAACAATGGAGACCACCTTCAGTTGACCATCCATGGCAGTTGAACTTTCTTGCTCCACCAACAACCTGCATAACTCCGCCCTTGGCCCGCCCACCGCGACGAGCCTCGTCGAATCCTCGTACATGCCATGCAAGCGAGGATCGACGGTGGTGGTGCCCGCAGGCCGCCGGACCGCGAAAACATCGTCGTCAACCTTGTACCTGTCACGGCGGTCAGCGACCTCCTTGACGCGGCCCTTGATGCCCCTGATGTCCGCGGCGATCCGATGGCGAACCCGGGCCGTGGTCAGCAGACTCAGGCACCTGCCGATGAACCCGCTGAACCCCGGATGGTGGAGGTCGACGCGCACCATGAACCTGTCGATGCTGTCTTCGACGTCGTAGGAGAGCTCCCTGACTTGCCCTACCCAGATCCTGACCTGCATGTCGACCGGCTGCGGCGTCGACGAGGACGATACCCTTTCGAGGGCCTCCTGCATGCTCTCCAGCTCGGCTCGGAGGAACATGATCTCGCCCCTCAGGCTCCTCTGCAGGTTGTACTCGTCCGTCAGCACGGCGTCCAGCTTGTGGAGGAGCGCGCTCAGCACCGCCCCCGCCATGACCTCCATGATCTTGCTTCGAGAAGTATTTCTCTGGATTTTGATTGAGAGATGATGAGGCTGCGTTAGTAAATTCTCTATTAGCTTGACGAGGTGGTTGCGGTGCTAAGTTTTGACTGGCGAAATTATAGTACTATCCGAGAAGATGTCATTGTATAGTTAACACGATGGGTAACTTTTGACAAGCAACTGACCCTGTCATAGCAGGTTTGGTTAAGTTTTCTTAATGTTTGCCACGTTTCCGTGTCGTTCAGGGATTGGTGTGGCTGGTCAATTACCTTCCGTGGATTTGTTAAACTGTTCACAACCAAATCAATTGACTAATCACCCGTGTTAGACCAGCTTGGAGTACAAGCCAAACCATGGAGAGGAAAGCAGGTGGTGACGACAAATCCTAGCACGGCAAAGGAAATGCAGTAAAAGAAGAAGACTAGGTAGTTGCATAGTCCCTCAATTCAAAAATAGGTGCCTGCTGAGTAAATGGTTGTACAAGTTTCCTAATGAGAAAGGTTTGTAAATTAGTTAGTTGCCACCTCTCTCATGGTCAAGCCCCCTCCTCCTCCACTACACTCCCATCTTCCCTCCTCAGCCTCTTAAGACAATCTTGCTAAGCGGGCAATCGTACGTACGCTGACGTTGATATTATTTTCATGGAGCATGACCTCGCCAAAGCCAGGAATATGAAGCTTGTGCTTTGCCTATTTGAGCAATTGTCTGGTCTTAAAATAAATTTTAACAAAAGCGAATTGTTCTGTTTCGGGAGAGCGAAAGAGAAACATGATGAGTACAGACAATTGTTTGGATGCGAAATGGGATCCTTACCGTTTAGCTACTTAGGGCATCTCCAGCCGCGCCCCCAACAGGCCCCCCAGGCCACTTTTTCGGCGCCGGCGCCGAAAAGGCCCAATCGCCCCCAGGACGCCGAAAATCGCCGGTTCGGACCTTTTTTCCGCCCGGCGGTCACAGGCCGAACCCGGCGCGCTGAGGAGCCGTTGGGGGCTCCGGCGCTAGGGAAAAGCTGTTGGAAATATGCCCTAGAGGCAATAATAAAAGTGTTATTATTATATTTCCTTGTTCATGATAATTGTCTTTTATTCATGCTATAACTGTATTATCCGGAAATCGTAATACACGTGTGAATACATAGACCACAATATGTCCCTAGTGAGCCTCTAGTTGACTAGCTCGTTGTGATCAACAGATAGTCATGGTTTCCTGGCTATGGACATTGGATGTCGTTGATAACGGGATCACATCATTAGGAGAATGATGTGATGGACAAGACCCAATCCTGAGCATAGCACAAAGATCGTGTAGTTCGTTTGCTAGAGCTTTGCCAATGTCAAGTATCTCTTCCTTTGACCATGAGAGCGTGTAACTCCTGGATACCGTAGGAGTGCTTTGGGTGTATCAAACGTCACAACGTAACTGGGTGACTATAAAGGTGCACTACAGGTATCTCCGAAAGTATCTATTGTTTTATGCGGATCGAGACTGGGATTTGTCACTCCGTGTAAACGGAGAGGTATCTCTGGGCCCACTCGGTAGGACATCATCATATGCGCAATGTGACCAAGGAGTTGATCACGGGATGATGTGTTACGGAACGAGTAAAGTGACTTGCCGGTAACGAGATTGAACAAGGTATTGGATACCGACGATCGAGTCTCGGGCAAGTAACATACCGATAGACAAAGGGAATTGAATACGGGATTGATTAAGTCCTTGACATCGTGGTTCATCCGATGAGATCATCGTGGAACATGTGGGAGCCATCATGGGTATCCAGATCCCGCTGTTGGTTATTGACCGGAGAACGTCTCGGTCATGTCTGCGTGTCTCCCGAACCCGTATGGTCTACACACTTAAGGTTCGATGACGCTAGGGTTATAAAGGAAGTTTGTATGTGGTTACCGAATGTTGTTCGGAGTCCCGGATGAGATCCCGGACGTCACGAGGAGTTCCGGAATGGTCCGGAGGTAAAGATTTATATATGGGAAGTCCTATTTTGGCCACCGGAAAATGTTCGGGATTTTTCGGTATTGTACCGGGAAGGTTCTAGAAGGTTCCGGAGTGGGGCCCACCTGCATGGGGGGACCCACATGAACGTGGGTAGTGGGGGCAAGGCCCCACACCCCTGGTCAAGGCGCACCAAGATCCCCCCTTAGAAGGAATAAGATCATATCCCGAAGGGATAAGATCAAGATCCCTAAAAAAGGGGGATAACAATCGGTGGGGAAGGAAATGATGGGATTTCTTTCCTCCCACCTTGGCCAACGCCCCAATGGACTTGGAGGGCAAGAAACCAGCCCCTCCACCCCTATATATAGTGGGGAGACGCATGGGAGCTCATACACGAAGTTCTGGCACAGCCCTACCTCTCTCCCTACTCCTCCTCTCCCATGGTGCTTGGCGAAGCCCTGCTGGATTGCCACGCTCCTCCACCACCACCACGCCGTTGTGCTGCTGTTGGATGGAGTCTTCCTCAACCTCTCCCTCTCTCCTTGCTGGATCAAGGCGTGGGAGACGTCACCGGGCTGTACGTGTGTTGAACGCGGAGGTGTCGTCCGTTCGGCACTTGATCATCGGTGATTTGAATCACGACGAGTACGACTCCTTCAACCCCGTTCACTTGAACGCTTACGCTTAGCGATCTACAAGGGTATGTAGATGCACTCTCTTACTACTCGTTGCTGGTTTCTCCATAGATAGATCTTGGTGACACGTAGGAAAATTTTGAATTTCTGCTACGTTCCCCAACAGTGGCATCATGAGCTAGGTCTATTGCGTAGATTCTTTGCACGAGTAGAACACAAAGTAGTTGTGGGCGTTGATGTTGTTCAATATGCTTACCGTTACTAGTCCAATCTTGTTTCGACGGTATTGTGGGATGAAGCGGCCCGGACCGACCTTACACGTACTCTTACGTGAGACAGGTTCCACCGATTGACATGCACTTGGTGCATAAGGTGGCTAGCGGGTGCCAGTCTCTCCCACTTTAGTCGGAACGGATTCGATGAAAAGGGTCCTTATGAAGGGTAAATAGAAATTGGCATATCACGTTGTGGTTTTGCGTAGCTAAGAAACATTCTTGCTAGAAACCCATAGCAGCCACGTAAAACATGCAAACAACAATTAGAGGACGTCTAACTTGTTTTTGCAGGGTATGCTATGTGATGTGATATGGCCAAAAGGATGTGATGAATGATATATGTGATGTATGAGATTGATCATGTTCTTGTAATAGGATTCACGACTTGCATGTCGATGAGTATGACAACCGGCAGGAGCCATAGGAGTTGTCTTTATTTATTGTATGACCTGCGTGTCATTGAAGAACGCCATGTAAACTACTTTACTTTATTGCTAAACGCGTTAGTCATAGAAGTAGAAGTAGTCGTTGGCGTGACAACTTCATGAAGACACGATGATGGAGATCATGATGATGGAGATCACGGTGTCATGCCGGTGACAAGATGATCATGGAGCCCCGAAGATGAAGATCAAAGAAGCTATATGATATTGGCCATATCATGTCACTATACTATTTGATTGCATGTGATGTTTATCATGTTTATGCATCTTGTTTACTTAGGACGACGGTAGTAAATAAGATGATCCCTTACAAAATTTCAAGAAGTGTTCTCCCCTAACTGTGCACCGTTGCTACAGTTCGTCGCTTCTAAGCACCACGTGATGATCGGGTGTGATGGATTCTTACGTTCACATACAACGGGTGTAAGACAGTTTTACACAGCGAAAACACTTAGGGTTAACTTGACGAGCCTAGCATGTGCAGACATGGCCTCAGAACACGGAGACCGAAAGGTCGAGCATGAGTCGTATAGTAGATACGATCAACATGAAGATGTTCACCGACGTTAACTAGTCCGTCTCACGTGATGATCGGACACGGCCTAGTTGACTCGGATCATGTAATCACTTAGATGACCAGAGGGATGTCTATCTAAGTGGGAGTTCATAAGATGAACTTAATTATCCTGAACATAGTCAAAAGACCTTTTGCAAATTATGTCGTAGGTCGCGCTTTAGTTCTACTGTTTTAGATATGTTCCTAGAGAAAATATAGTTGAAAGTTGATAGTAGCAATTATGCGAACAGTAGAAAGCTTATGTCCTTAATGCACTGCTCAGTGTGCTGAACCCCAAACGTCGTTTGTGGATGTTTCGAACATCGAACATACACGTTTTGATAACTACGTGATAGTTCAGTTAAATGGTTTAAGTAGAGGCACCAAAGACGTTTTCGAAACGTCGCGGAACATATGAGATGTTTCAAGGGCTGAAATTGGGATTTCAGGCTCGTGCCCACGTCAAGAGGTATAAGACCTCTGACAATTTTCTTAGCCTACAAACTAAGGGAGAAAAGCTCAATCGTTGAGCTTGTGCTCAGATTGTCTGAGTGCAACAATCACTTGAATCGAGTGGGAGTTGATCTTCCAAATGAGATAGTGATGTTTCTCCAAAGTCATTGCCACCGAGCTGCTAGAGCTTCATGATGAACTATAACATATCAGGGATAAATAAGATGATCCTTGAGGTATTCACGATGTTTGACACCGCGAAAGTAGAAATCAAGAAGGAGCATCAATTGTTGATGGTTGGTGAAACCACTAGTTTCAAGAAGGGCAAGGGCAAGAAGGGATACTTCATGAAACGGCAAATCAACTGCTGCTCCAGTGAAGAAACCCAAGGTTGAACCCAAACCCGAGACTAAGTGCTTCTGTAATAAGGGGAACAGTCACTAGAGCAGAATTACCCTAGATACTTGGTAGATGAGAAGGCTGGCAAGGTCGATAGAAGTATATTGGATATACATTATGTTAATGTGTACTTTACTAGTACTCCTAGTAGCACCAGGGTATAAGATACCGGTTCGGTTGCTAAGTGTTAGTAACTCGAAATAAAAGCTACAGCATAAACGGAGACTAGCTAAAGGTGAGCTGACGATATGTGTTGGAAGTGTTTCCAATGTTGATATGATCAAGC